TAACAACATTGTGTGCATCTTTAAAGTGAGCTACAAAATACAAATTGGAGTGGTTGCACGTACTTCTGTAGGCACTATTTTAACAGCTTGCTTACAAACACACTGCAGGAGAAGAGGTAGTTCTTATAGTCTGTCTTCCCAAGCTGCCAGGTTCCTCTGGCTCATCCTGCAGCTGGTGGCGATGCTTCACATTCAGATTCCAGTCCCCTCCATTAAGCAGCCAGCCATGGGGGTGTCTCTGTGCTTTGTGCCCTGAGCTTTATGTAAATGGCAGAAGGATCCAATCCTGCTGACTTGTGGGAGGAATTGCATTGGCTTTCCCTCAGAAAAGTGGGCAGTGGGTTGGGTGGCTGCATTATCACCATCCCAGCGATGTGCTGCGTCTGTTCCTGTTGCAGTGCTCTCTGTGTGTGGGATGCAGAGCTTCCCACTGTGATTGCTGTGAGCAGTGGGATGTGCTGGCTGCACAGGGGGTTCTGAAAGCATGTGGATGCCACAAAAAGCATCAGTACTTGCTCTGAGCAGGATGGGGCTGGTGGGTGAAACAAAAAGTCTTTTATAAGGAGAAGTGAAGCAGAGCTGTCCCATAGTAAAACCTAACGATCCAACCTAACTGCAGCACCTTTGTCCATCATCTGTTAGTCACTGGCTCACACATAGGCCAACACTCATTGCTCGTGTTGCTTTGGAGCTTTGGCTCCAGCTATTCTGCAAGAGGCTGCATCCCATCAGCAGTGCAGGGGAAGAAAAGTCACCTCCTCTGAGTGAGTCACTGGTGCTCTGTTTGGGTGATGGATCCAACCTTGTATCTCAGTAGCGTGGCTGCTGCTCAAGCAGGAGGATGCAGTGCTATCAGCTCCTTGCAGTTTGCACCCCCCCCCCCCTTGTATTTCCCTTTAAGCACTGCCAAGTCACGCTCCCTCGGAGGGCTGCTCAGCCCTGCTGAAGCTGCAGAACATTGCAGCAGGTAAAGAAATAAATCAGCTCCTGCCAGGAAACACGGGAAGGCTGGAGTGTGTCTCTCCAGGGAAAAAAAAAAAGCATAAAATTGGCCCACTTCTGATTGAAGTACCACTGCTTAATAACAGCAGGATTGCTAAAGTTACCTCCAGTGAATGTTCAGTTGTGACTACGTGGACCCAAACTCTCTTGTGTGTACAATATTTTCTGCACTCCTGCCATGAAAGTCTGATACATATGTCAGTTAATGTGCCAGGCTGTATGTGGGATGTTGTGATCAATGCTGAAATAGAAATTCACTTCTTCACAGCAACCTGTGCTCAATGCACGTCAGCTTGTTGCCCTTCCTGCCGGATTTGCCCCTTTAACTCTGCTCACAGATTTCACAGAATCACAGAATGGCCAGGGTTGGAAGGGACCTCAAGGATCATGAACCTCCAACCCCCCTGCCACATGCAGGGCCACCAACCTCCACGTTTAATGCTAAACCATTGCTGACTGCAGCAATTCCCTGTACCCAGCTGCAATGCACTGCGCTTAAATGGCAAATTTAATCCTCACCAGGACTTCGCCACTCAACATAGGCTCCGCAGTGCAGGCAAGAATAAAGTCTGAACCTAAAACCACTGGGGAGACCTAAACTTGTTGCCCACGCTGTGATGCATCTCTGGGTTGGCCACAGACCTCGCAATGGAGAGCGGAATGGATCACAGAAGGGCAATGGGCTCAGCTGCTCTGATGGCTCAGCTGCTCTGATAGCTCAGCGCAGGTCGAAGGGATGCTTACTTCCCCTTTCTTCCTCTAGAGGGAATTGCGTCCCCATGCCTGGCTGCAGAAGGAACCTGGCTGTAAGGGAGCGCTGAGCAGCTGAGTGCAGGGTGATGTTTGGTTCTGCTGTGTCTGCTTAGCTGCTCTCCCATCCTGTCCCACCTTTCACCCTGTGCTAAGCATTCGTGGCACGCATCCCTCTGACCCCAAGGAGGGACCAGGTGGGTTCGTGTCCCTATCACTGTGCTCTGCAGTTCCCAGCTTAGCGCAGCAATGACAGCCTCACCCAAAGGTGAGCAGCAGAGCCAAACCTGTCAGACCTGCTCTGAATCCTCATACCCAGCACTGGTGCTGGAGGGTGAAAGTTAAGGGCTACTGAAGTTGTAAGGTTCCTTCTGGCAGCTGGTGAGGAATGGGGAAGTGGAGGTGATGCAGGTTCCACGTGGCGCTGCATAGGAGTGGCTTTTCTGTCGTCCTCTGCTTTAATTTGTGTGGGTTTTGGTTTTGTTTTGCTTTGTTGTCTTTATTTTTAATGAGACCATTCATCAGTTTGTTACACCTGTCGGTGTTTGATGTTCCATTATGGCTGTGGATCCGTAAAGCAATGCAACTGTGGGATGATTTTAGGTTTCTTTTCATTGCTTTCTTGGTTTTGGTGGCTTATTGGTAGGATTGTATTGCTTGTTTTCTTTTTTGCAAGGCAGGATTCAATTCTTTGTACTTTTTGGAGAACCCTGAGCTGCGATTTCAAAAGATCCCTCCAAAAAGATCCCTCCAGTGGCTGTTCTGAAGCCAAGCAGTCTGCTTTTCCTTTCTTTCATTGCTTGGGGTTAGCAGTCTTTACACTGGAAAATAGCACTATCTTTTGCCCTAACATATCCTCACTTGTTTTCTGGAGCCAAACAAAGGACACTTGATGACGTGAAATCTCCAGCTTAGATTTATAACTGCCTAATAAGAAACTGTTGACCAGTGGGCTCATGTTCCACCAGCAGAAAGTGATACATGTGTCCAAACCTCTCAGCCTCTGTTGGACCTTTTGGCTGTGAATCCCCTTTTTGCTAAACTGAATCCAAGTCAGTGGGGATCAATGCAGTAAGTTTAACAGCACCTGAGTTGGTGACCCTTGGGGCTGTGAAATCAGAAGGGTGTGACATTGGAACTGCTGTGCTAATGGGCAGCAGCTGCTCCTTCAGGCTGGGCTATTTGCTCACTGGCAGCAGTGCTTCGGTGTGGCACTGGGCTGTGGGTTGAGCCTGCACAAGGCACACAAGGGCAGCCTGTGTTCCCCCACACTTGGGTGAGAGGATGTCTGAGAGGGCTGGGATAGAAGCACTGTTGTTGGTGCAGCCCTGAATGCTGCTGTTTGCCTTGGGCAGCAGTGCTGTGGCTGGAGCTTGTTCTGCTCCTTGGTCAGCACAGAGCTGGGGGAACACAGCTGCAGGCGCCTGCATCCCGTGTCAGATCTTGCATCCTCGCTCTGCCCCCACCTCTATGTGCAGAAGCATCTTCTTCTGCCTTCTCTCTGTCTGCTTGGGGAGGTGAAGATCATAGAATCACAGAATCATTGAGGTTGGAAAAGACCTCTAAGATCCCCAAGTCCAACCTCACCTCACCACATCCCTCAATGCCACATCTCCATGGCTCTGGAACTCCTCCAGGGATGGCGGTCCCACCACCCCCTCGGCAGCTGTGCCAATGCATCAGTGCTTTTCAGAGAAGAAACACTTCCTAATTTCCAACCTGGCCCTCTCCTAAAATAGGCAATGTGCTCACAGAGCTGGCATAGGGGCACTGCTGCTGGTGGGACCCTCTGCAGAGAGCTCACATTCTGCTCAGGATGAAGGATGGGTGCAGTGTGACAAGTCGTTGTGTGAAGTGATGAAAACCTGATGGAGGGTTGTGTTGGGGGGCAGCCCAGGTGTCATCATCTGAAATCTCTCTTCATAGGTCTCTGTGACAAAAGGGAAACGTCTTAGGGATTTGCTCGTGGGAGAGGGGTCAGTAAAGGTAATGAAGATGCTGTGGGCACGGAGCATCCTGCTACTTAAACAATAGGCAGGTGGGCCCTTAAGGAAAGGGAGATGGACAGAGTTTACTGCTGCTTTGAGTTGGAATGCCCTTTGCTGATATAATTTCCTTCCCCTTTCTCCTCTCCTCTGCATTTCTGAGTTCTGCCCTCTTCCCCAGCCAGCAGCTTGCACTCTGGGTCTCACTAATGGAAATAAGTTGCACATGCAACTGATGGCACTGATAGCTTCCACATCCCAGTTCCTTTGCTTATTTACTTGGTGCTATCACTGCAAGATAAACAGAGAAAAATTTCAGGTAATGGAAATGGCTGTGGAAGCTGAGGCAGGAATGAGTGTCTGGGACAGATGTATTGGCCAGAGCCAGGAGCATCACACAGACAAACAGCTTGGCCTTGGTGCAGTCCCAGATTGGTCAGTGTCAGCTCTTCTATTCATAGAATCACAGAATGGTTGGGTTGGAAGGGGCCTTAAAGACTTCTCAGCCATTCCACCTTGCTTTATCACTATCTGCCCATGTAAAAAGTCACTCTCCTCCTTCTTCTAAGCTCCTTTTGAATACTGAAAGGTCGCAATGAAGTCTTCCTGGAGCCTCCTCCTGGCTGAACACCCCCAGCTCTTGGCTTGCCTTCACAGCAGAGCTGCTGCAGCCCTCTGAGCGTCCCCGTGCCTTCCTCCTGCCCCGCTCCAGCAGCAATGCATCCTTCTTGTGCTCAGAGCCTCAGACCTGGGTTCAGCTCTCCCACCAAACTCCTATGATGGTTGCTACAAAGAAGAAGGAGCCAAGCTGCTCGTAGCCTGTTCTCCAGAAGGTGAGAAGGAAAAACCCAGGTAAGGGGCTGGGAGCCAGATCCCGGCGCGTGGTGTGAGTTATGCTGGGGAATGCTCCATCTGGAACCAAATAAAGGAAAGGTGCAGAGCAAAGAAAGGACTGCTGCCGTTGCTCGGCTTTGTCCGTCCTGCCGCAAACCGAAGCGCGCAGCCGGCAGAGCTCCGTGCCAGCCGCACCGCGGGGCAGCGGCAAACCAGATTGCTGCAACGCTCCTCCTCCGGCTTCGGAGGGGCGGGGAGCGGGACCCGGCATCCTCCCCGCATCCATCCCGGCCGCCGCACCGCGGGCACAACCCCCCCCCCCC